AAATATAATGCGCTTTGCTCGGGGACAAGATTCATCCCTTTTTATTTATTTATTTTATGTATTATTTTTTTTTTTTTGATGGACTGAATATGAAAATTAGTGAAAATGCCACCATTCAGAGTGGAGGTCATGACTTCCTGCTGCCCTCGTTCTGAACTTCATACACAACCTTGATCTGTCAACGTCGGTAACAAATTGCCTGTTTTCTTAAGCCATCTGGTACCTTTTAGTTTTACAATAAAAACAGTGTAAAAGGAAACAGGGTTAGTAATGAAATTCATCATTGGCCCATTCAAGTGTTTATTCGCTGCAATTTTTATTTATTTTTTGTAAAAAGCAGGCTTATCAAAAACTGAAATCATTTTTGACACAATGGGATGAGCTCTGAGGCAAGGCCGCTGCCATGTTTTTAGGCTTACAAACAACTTTTTAATTAGTTTACAGATTTGTTTGCTTTGTACGTACTAAGTGTTAGGTGTAAAACGTTTCTGTTCAGTCATTTTTTACCACTTTTTTATTGACTTTTTTTAAATGAAATAACAAAAGAACACATTTAATTTTTAAATTAATTTGGAAAAACACAAAATTATTTTTGCTTTGTGAAGTAGGAGAGATGGACAATGAGGTTGGTCATTAAAAAAATATAAAGAGGCACTAAAGAGCAAAAAACAAACTCTCTCAATAAGCCCAACTAATTCTTAAGCTTTTTTTTTCTGCGCTCATTTAAATATAACTACCTGCTTTTTCCCCTCATTACCATTGATTGTTAAATTAAAACATTTTTTTCTGTTAAAACAAATGGTATCAAACAAAAAGTTTGTACAAACCAAAGCCTTTTGCTGATTTCCATATGAAAATGCCAGCTAAACTACAGCCTTGTTCCAACATCAGTGGACATTTTTTTTATTTTTATTTTTATTTTTTTTTTGGGGGGGGGACATTGGTAACTTTCTGTTTAGCAAAATAATTCCATGTAGAAATAAAATAAGGTTGACATTCAGCATCGGCCACTTCAAGTGTTTACTCACTAAAAACAAAGCTATATCAAAAACTGAAATCCTTTTAGACAAAACAAATGAGCTCAGAGACGAGGCTGCTGCCAGGCTTAGAAACAATTTATTAATTGGTTTACAGATTTGTTTGCTTTGTATTTAAGTGCTGGGTGTAACCTTTCTGTTCACTGTTGTTTTTACTACAAAACTTGTCAGTCTTCCTTTTTATTTACTTTTAAATGTTGCAAAAACCTTTTCAATGGTGCCACAAAAGACAGGTATTTAATTTTGAAAAGAATTTGGAGAATCGCTCCATAAAACCAAAGCTGATATTAAAAATGACCGAAAGTCCAAAATGTGACCCCCTCCAACAGAAAACAGCTGAAATCTCAGCATGGATTCTGTCCAAAAAAAAAATCATTTTTTGTACTGTAAGGTAGAAGAGAGTTGGTCATTAGAAATTATGGTGATGGAGTGAAAAGAGATTAAAAAAATTATTAGGGAAATACTCTCATTAAGCCCTACTATTTATTAAGCCTTTTTTTCTGCATGAATGCAATTTTCCACTGTGTATTTTATTATTGTAGCATGAAGAAACACTCACCTGATCATGACCTCTAAACCTGAGCTCTTTCATAACCAAATAAATCTGGTTTCCTTTTGACCTAAATGTTTGATCTTTCCTGCACCATTCTCCCTTCATCGTCCTTGGACCTTTAATCTACCTAAAGTCTAATTAATTTCTTTCAGTCTTTTGACGAAAAACATCCGTGAATAAACTTTTTTTTATTTGATTATGACCTGTTTAAAACATGAACAATGTTGATTTAGTGTTAGAAATTATCACGCTGAAATCACAGAAATTTTATAATACTGTACGTTTGTAACATATTTTGTGTCTTTTGGTTTCCAGACAGGAACGTCTAAGGTGTGTGTGTGTGTGTGTGTGTGCGTGTGTGTGCGCCCCTTGTTTTTGCTACTCGGTGGGGACGATTTTTCAGGAAAATGCAGCCTCGTGGGGACCGGATGCTCCACGACTTCGAAGGCTGATTTTTTTGGGAGGATTTAGGTTTAGGACCAAGGTGTGAATTGAGTTTAGTTAGTTTTAGGGTCAGGTAGGTACTTGTCAGGTTCATTTTAGAGTGTGGTGTCAGGGTTAGGCTATAAAATTGCCAGAAAATGCATGAAAGTCAATCCACATGGGGATATAAAAACAAACCTGTGTGTGTGTGTTTAAGAGAGAGAGATGGAGAGAGTGTGTTTTGAGTAGAGAGCTTTGCTGAACCATATTGGCCTTAAATGGGTTTATTTGTTGTAGATCTAAACCTGACCCTGGTCTCCATAAGGAGCAGTGGTTCCTCACAATGTAACAAATGCTATAACACACACACATATAAACACACACAGAAATGATTAAAAACATTTTTGGTTTACCTTTACGCTTTGGCAATGGTCCATAAAAACTGAAATCGAACATGCTTCATTTTAATTGGCCTAGTTTCCTCACCATTGATTTATGGACAAGAAGCAACCAGTCATATTTATTTTGACCTACCAGCTAGTTTCCTTTAAGATTAAAAAATAAAAATGAATACACAGGTATGACCCAACCATGTGTGGGTGGCTCATATAAACCCATGTTTATGTGAGATTAAGTCCAAGTCCATACACGCCTGCAACAAGACCATCCTATCCACTTACACTGTCAGTACTTTTACTGCTGTATCTGGATCGACTGAGTTCATGAAGACTGCTTCTTTTTCATCACAAACGCCCCCCTCTTTCTGTCCTTTCTATAGCCCCCAAAGATCTCATTCATTGCGTCATAAGACAGCAGGCCCTGCTGACCTGGAAAATGACTGACTCAAAACATTAAAAAAAGAACTTCCTAGTTTAATGGTTGTGGCACATACTTGCTCCTCTAATGCCCTTTCTATACCCTTCTTCATCTATGAAAATAAATAAATAAATTGAATATCCATCTGCCTGTGTCCAAGCAACTAACCACTTAATGCTTAATGGCCCTAAAGGGTCTACATTCAGATGTTTGCAAGGCCACAAGAACCTGTATAGAACTCTATAGAAGAGCTAGTAAGAAATTATTTCCAATTTTACAAACTGAATGTAGCTCTGCATTGTTGGTTTGAACAAGCACACTTCAGGCACAGTGAAAAATTTAAAAAACAAGACTTTTCAAGCAACCAACCAACAGCCCTTAAAATTAAAGCTAACATTTAAAATCTTAAATAATTACTGTATTTTAAGCAGCAATTTTCCCCCTATTCCCAAAAATAGAAAAAAGAAGGGTGCAGAGAGTAGCTGGGTTTTAAATCATGTCAATCAGAGAGAGGGCTTTCTGCTGCGTTTTTCTCACTCTTTACCTCTGCCTCTTCATAAGCAGAAAAAATATTTTGTAAAATGTTTGACATTTATTAAAAATGCTGTTCATTCATTAGCTAATTTATTGTGTGTTTAAATAGTTGTCCTTCACATCAACTGAAAATGAATTTCAATTTAAAGAACAGTTGGATTAGAAAATTGTTTGTGTTTGCTAAAACTGTCATAAATGGTGACTCAAATGAATTGTAATCAGAAAGCAGTGCAACCTAATGAAACTAGTACTGACTAAAAGGAGCATTTACACCAGTATATACTGTATGTGATACCACAAGATTTCACATAATCTGTTAGAACTCATATGTATTGGGAACAACTCCCAGCTACTGCCACATCAAATTTTAATTCAATATCTGTAAAACTATTTTTTGTGCTTTCCACTGTCAGAAGAATTATAATTTTCAATTTCTTTATTGTTGTATTGGAGGAGAAACCTGAGGATTTGTATTATTTGCAGCTACATAACACCTTAGAAGTGAAAGGTGTTGTTTGCTAGTAAGCATAAAACATATTTTTCTAAAAATAAAATAAACTTTAAAAAGTATGCCTATGCTATGTTTAAAAATTAACAGTTAATGTAAATGGACTGTACTTGTATAGCACCTTTCTACCCAACCAGGATACTCAAAGCGCTCCACACTACAATCTGTGTCCTCATTTACCCATTCACACAGAACTCTACTAGATCTCCTACAAAGCTAAG